TTTTGAATATTGAAAACGTCAAGATTTGAGTTGTAATATGAATGCTCAGTTTGCATTGTCTCTTCACTTCTCTAATAGCTGTAATGCCTTGTAACTTAGAAAATAGAGTAGAAATGACATTTTCCTGAATATCTTGCATCTGTAATGACTTAGCAGAGTTTCATCTGTTCGTATTACTGCTTTTCTTCAGTTGACATAATTTCAGTTAGGGAGGAAGCTGAAGTATCCTCCCTACAAATAACTACTTTGTTTATATTACTTTAAGGAATATGTTTGCAATATGTCAGAAAAGAGAGGATATTTTGGAGTGAAAAAAGAGGAAAAATTGATACTATTTAAAAGAAATATCTTTTGATACAAATCAGTGTCAATTTTAGAATAACAATAAAACTTAGTAATTCTGACTCCTTTTGCAGTATTTGGATCTTAACTTTACAGATCAGCTGGTTGAAAATGAACCAGACCCAAACTAGAAAGGGAGGAAGCAACCAAGATAGTCATCAGACTTTTTCAGTGAGAACTTGTCAACCCTATTCCCTTCCAGTGCCTAAGTGGGCTGACAAGAAAGCTGGAGAGAGACTTTTTACAAGGGCCTGTAGGGGTAGGACAAGGGGGAATGGCTTTAACCAGTAAGTAATAGACACAATGTAAGCTGTAGAGTTAATATAACCAAGGAGAAATACTGCACCATTTAACAAAACTTGCATGTCATCAGGAATTTTGAGAACTTGTTTATATTTTGGAGCTAGGAAAGAGAAACGTGTCTGTGTACAACTCTGTTTGGATAATTGGTCTTTTTTTTTTCCTTTGTTGTACATGGTGAATCACCTGATTCAGTTGCCATATGAAAGACATAACTGGAGATAAACCCAAGAGCTGACAGACTGTGTTGGGGCAGGTCTTTAAACAATCTGTTCATTTGGTCACATTTGGAAGGGATTTGTAGTTTCATGTTTGTTAAGCTTCTCTTTGATCTTAAGAACTATTCTTGAAGGCACTTAAGGAAACCTATTTCTGTAAGTTACCGTTCTTTCATGAATATATTTTCCCTCTGTTCTTTTTCCAGTATGACTAGTATGCACTACCTGGCAGCTGACTGCAACTCCTAGCTATAAAAATCAGAACCAAACAGCCCTGTTTGAGATTTGAAAACCTTGGAGTGTACAACATAACTAGATGTCCATGATTTTGAGATGACCATGTAACCCAAACTTACAGTGTTAATGATTGATGGCATTGAGCTGTAGGAAGAGTAAAGCTTGGTTGTCTGAGTAGAATGCATCATATGACCTTGTCAGTTGAAATACTTTCTGCGGCCATAGCTGCTTCTTGTCTTTCCCTGGCAGTAGATGATTATGTGGCAGGAGTGTTCCTGCTCCTGCTGCCTTCATGAGCTGCCCTGGGGTTAGGACAGAGAGTGGCTTTGAGAAGGTATGTAGTACTTCGAACAAAGTGAGATGGGCCAATGGCTCGCTGCTCCCAAGAGAGGGAACCCTGCTTCCCTCTGCCTTGCAATGCTTTTTGCCTTAACCTGGATGTTGTTGCAAATGGATTCAATTTGCCAAACTATCAGGAAGTTAACCTGATTTTAAAAACAAAAACCAAAAAACCCCCCAAAACAAACAAACAAAACAAGCACAAAAAAGCTTTCTGGCAGTCTAGCGTATTGCTTTGATTTGTGGTATGGTCAAACCAGTGCCAGAATTGGTCCAAGGAAAGGGACAGGGAAAACTCAAGAATGGAAAATTGAGTTCTGATCTTTTGACAGCTGTGGTGAGCTGTTAGACTAATATGTCCACATTATATCTATACTCACATTATATCATCATCCTTGGCATGACAGAGATGATTTTAAAAAGCCATACAAAAATAATTATGCCTGTGGCACATTAAACGTTTTTGCTTAGAAGTAGAGCAAGTTGAAAATATTGTCAAGGAATGTTGCTGTACAAAAATAGTACCTGTAGTTTTAGAGTAAATGCCTGTTGATTTTTAACAAAGTTGTTAAAAAAAAAAATAAACTGGAAAACTATTTTATTTAGTTATGTTAACAGAAGGCAATTACACTTTCCATTTTAAATCTGGGTTTGTTTTGATTTATGTGTGTGGGTGTGTGTTGCTGCTTCATAAACACACCAAAAGTTTTGACTTCATAGAAATGTTTCAACACAAAAGGAAAATGTGCAGGGATCCATAGGAGGTTGCTGTATAAGGTAGTGGGAAAATACTTTGAAATGCCAGCATTTTCTAGAAGAAAAGAAATTCAGGTATATGAAAAGTATCGTGGTCTAATGTGAAAGGTTCAAAACTTTGCTAGAATTAAATTTTTGCTAGGTTCAAAACTTTAAAAACTTGTTAAATTAACTGATGTTAAATCCACAGATGCTACACAGTGCTCAGGTTTCTTTGAAATAACAATTAAGGGTCAGCTTTTGTGAGTAGATTTGGGCATCTTGTTTCTAGTTTTTCTTGGAACTGTAACTATTACAAATTAAGGACAGTGATTTCCCTGGTGCCTGGAATATTCATAAAGTGCTTTGGCACTGAATGAAAAGCAGCACGGGATGGAAAACTTAACTCTGAAACTTCATTTTCTGTATTTTTGCTTGTCCACTTTAAACCCATCACTTTTGATGTAACAAATATAATCATCTGTCGTTGTCACATTTCCAGAAGGATTTCGTATTTGTTTGAAGGTAGTATTGTAATGTGTCTCTTAATTTGAGTTTAAAACATATTTCTTTTACTAATCTGCGGAATAAGGTTACAGCTTCTTTAAATTGCTGTAAATCTGTCTCTCTACGAAGCTTGTTATTCTCTAAGGATGTATTTGTTGCTTAATAAGAAATAAGACAATGGTTATTTATTCCTGCACTTAAACTACTCAAAATTCGTGTTGAATACAGAAGCACTTGTCTCCATTCTTGCAACAGTAAAGTATACTTAAAATCACAGTTCTTCAGAAAATGTCTTTAACATGCACAAGATTGTGTTGTGCACTGAAGTGCTCCAATACTTAACTTTTGAGTACTCTTATTTGTTTTGTAGAAGCAACTACTCCAGTGTTTTTCATTCTTTCTCTTTAAACCAGTATTACAGCTGGGACTGCTTTGGAGAAGAAGTAGAGAAGCCAAACATACGTTTTGGAGACTTTTTTGAACAATAGACTTTTGGGGTTTTTTTCATTTTATTTTGCAGTGTGGGTATAATTTAAAAGCTACACCTAACTTTCATTTGTATGTTTGTTTCTTTCATACATGATACTGGGAGTTGTGGTGCAGTTTTGTGGCCTCCATAGACCTGCACTGCCAGTAAAAGCACCCGTTCATCCTCTTCCCATCTGTGTGATCTAGCAGTGTGCTTACAAGCCATCACCCCTTCCATTGACATTGACAGCTCTCTGTAGTAATTTGGACTGAAGAACAAATTGTGGTTTAAACTTATTTGAGGGACAGTGGAAGGAAGGTGGAGCTGTATCTTGTGGTGACAGTGTTGGTAATTCTGCTTGGTGACCACTATACACCAGATCTTGACTAATTTTCCTGCAAAAAACAGGGATCATACAGAAGACAGTTATGTTCTGTGCATAGGGCGACATTCTTTGATGCAAAGGCATTTGTAAATGGGTCTGATGCGCTTGTTCATGGTAAAGGGAAGAAGCTTATGTAAGTACAACTAATCCACCATGGTAGGCTGGAGAAAAAAGGACAGCCCAGACAGAAGCACATCTTTGGCAATAAAGTTGAAAAATCTGCTCGTTTCAGTCAGATGATGTGTATGATACAGAATATGTAAGAGATGTATGAAATAGAAAATACAGGATATTCCTTAACCCTTCACATTTTCTTTCCCAGAAGGGGAAATTAACATCTGAAGTAATATTGGTTGTTATATGGATAGCTGCATGGAAGCTGTGCCTCGCTTGCAGTCGTGCTTCCTAGCCTGTGCTGTCATACTGGAAAAGGAGCTGTTGGGCTAGCCCCTCAGTAAAGTACAAATACTGTGAGATATGCCAAGGTAATCTCTTAAATTCAATTCTAGTTCTCTTTCTGGCATACAGCCAAGTACTTGCATTTCAGTAAGTTGTCAGCTATCTACAGTAGCAAAAGTTGGGAGCAGTCAAAGTGGATCGGTAGGTTGAAGCATTGATGCTGTCATTCTTCAGGTGTGGCTTGGAGGGCTGACTGTGGAGGTGATGATACTTGGTTTCCTGTGCCAAATGCCTGCTCCATGCATGTGGTTCAGTGGTTTCTGAATGAAAAAATAAGTTAGTGATGTATTTATTACAAGATGAAGACCTTGTAGTAGCATGGCCTGCCCCCATCTTGGTTTGCAATCTGATGTCTCCCATAAACAGTGGAATTACTGAAGTGGAGCTGTGCTGGTATCAGCTAAGATGGCTTGTGAGAACTGAACCAGTATGTGGTCACTGCACACAGCGAGGGGATTCACTCCAGCTCTGCACTGCTGCCCCCAGCCAAGCTGCTGATGTAGACCTCATCTGCTTCCCAGATGATGGCTGAGGGGTGCAGTATCAGTCACTCAGAAATGGAATTAATGGCTTTGTAGAGTCAAGTCACCAGGTCATTGAATTTAAGGTTTGAAAGGGTCACGTGTATGTCCAACAAACAAACCAACCAACCAAGCCTTAAATGTATCAAAGGTACTTATTTTGATTCTCTTGAAAAAAGTAACAAGTAAAGCTTGATTATCTTTTTTCCTTCATTTCTGCTGTGCTTTTACATGTGGTTAGATTTATATTGTAACTGTTGTTATGCTGTTGCTTGCACATTAATTCTGAGCATGTTTTACAATTGCATTTTACTTTCCCGTGGAGAAGAGCTGCTGGGTTGTTTCTGGTTTGTTTTGAGATAATTTGATGTAAGGGGGGTTGGGTACATAATACCAAATCTCTTGCAGTTTACAAGCCTTTATTTTTAGGCCTGTCATCATAGCACATAAAATAAAAAAATTCATTAATGGGTTTAACCTAATTTCAGGATCCTGGACCACCACCACCTTCACCATTGATGGGTTTGAAGCCATTGCAGTTACTAGAGATCAAAGCTAGGGGAAGATTTGGTTGCGTATGGAAAGCTCAACTACTAAATGAGTATGTTGCGGTCAAAATATTCCCTATTCAGGTAAGCAGAAGTTCTTAGTGTCCTGTGTTGCTTATAACATCATAATGTTAAACAGCTTTTGTAGTCAAAATAAGAGGCTTTTTAGAACTTTTTCAATGTATAATGTAAATCTAGGTGGAAATGTTGAGCTGAAAAACGGGTGCGTAGAGCTTTATTGAATTAAAATAAGTATTTTAATGCAGCAAGCATATTACTGAAATAAGCTCAGTGAAACTTTCATGTTTCTAGTCATAAAAATACTTATTTGGCATGAGTAGTTTTAAGTAGCTCTCATACATCTCTTGATCAGTTGAGATAAATTTGTCAATATTTTTCGAATTAAGTTGTACTTAAAAGGAATGTCCTGAAATGCAAACCTGTGAGGTGATTGTTCAAATTAAGTATAATTAAGTGAAATATTTGCTTCCCAGCAAGTACTCTCTGAAAGCCATGTTTAAAATAGATTTTGCTCATAATTTTTCAGTTAAAGAACACAAACTGATCATAATGCAATGATATTAGGATAAATTTTAAATTAATTAAAAATACCCACTGCTGCTTGAGGTGAAGAGGTGTGCTTGTGTTTTCTAATGATTAACCAAGTGTGACTTGCTGATTAAATACATCTGCAATTTCTTATCTTTCTAGGAGAAGTGGCCTGTATTTATGCTGGTTTCGGCCATCAGCACAACATAAGCTATATCTGAGACTTTGTTATCTTTAATTAAGGAAAACCTGTTTATAATTCTTTATGGGGTTCTTGTAGATTTATAAAATACAAAAGTTGAACTATGCTCTTAAGACTAAAGCTATTGTAATGATTTGCCTTACGTAGACTCCAGTCCCGATATACAGATTTCTGTGTTTCCATGGTTCATATCTGTGATAGCTGAGGTATTGTTTTCAGCAGTTGATGATTGTTTACAACAAATTAAGTTTTTTCAGACAATTTCCCACTAGATGTGAACATGTAATATATGCAAAGACAGTTTTTCATCTTTTTTTTTTTTTTTTGTTAGATCAGTAGTTTGTAGCATAAATGCAGTTATTAGTCTAAGCATTTGTAATTTTTAATGTTAATACAATACACTGTGCTTTCTTTCTTTGCCCTGTAAATCTTATCTTTGCCCCCCCAAAAAAGGTTTTGGTTATTTTGACAGATCACTTACAAATGTGTGGTAAATTGTAGGTGGTAACTTCTGTCAGGGAAAGTACTTCAAGTACCTCTTATACTCATCATTATAGTATTAATGTGGTTTGTGTTCTTTGTTTAAAGGACAAACAGTCATGGCAGAATGAATATGAAATTTACAGTTTACCTGGGATGAAGCATGACAATATTTTGCAGTTCATTGGCGCAGAGAAGCGAGGCACTAGCATTGATGTTGATCTCTGGTTAATTACAGCATTTCATGAGAAGGTATGTTTAGTTCTCATCATAGCTCTTTTTTTATGATTATGGCAGAGGAAGAACAGCCTTAGAGATTTCTTACAGTTGTGAACTTGAGCTAGTTAAGAAATAAAATTTAAAATAGTTTTTGTTTACTCTCAACTTGTCTCTTTTCATTGGATATGAATTTATTTAAATTTCAGCCAGCTAAAAACGTTATCAGTCTTCACCTAATGGAGGAGATGTTATCGAAAACAAACAAAAATTCATTCTCCTTTTTTGTTTTTTAGAACATGTATTTTTTAATATCCCCCATCTAAATATGCATAAATTAAATAAACTCCATCTTGCAGAGACTGTGTTTTTTATTTTTCTTCTACTTGTGTTAGTTGATTTGAGTCTCTAAGAGTGAAATAATATGTATCCATTCTATTGTAATAGCCACGGTAAGAAACATTAATATATGTAATAAGAATATGTTCACTGTTTTGTTTTAGCCACTTAGATATTTTTTTTAAAATGCGTATAACTGTCACAGAGATGTAAGTACAAAAGAAGGGGGAAGCCAAGACACCCCAACTTAAACTTAGCAGTGGCACAGCAGGGAGGCATTAGGAAGATGTTACATGTAACATATTTGAGAAAATATGGACATTTTATTGCATTAAGGTTAGGTCATAGGTAATTTCTGGTATTGAATGTTAAATTCTTCATTCTGTCATTTTGTCCCACTTATGCCTCTGCTCTAATAATTTAGAAGACTAGAACTATGCAGCTGTTTACATTTTTTGACAGGTCTTCATGATAAGTAGATAATAACCAAACTAATTTACCTTTCTGAAAGTTTATTGCTATTTTTTGTTTATTTTGTCTAAGAGTTTAAAAAAATCTTGTTTCTGTTGGAGAGATGGCATCTGAGATGACTGATGGAAAATAGGATTTTTAATTTTATTTTTGAAGTGTAGCCTCTACAGTTTGACAGCTCTTTGTTAATTTTTCCCTTTTGTGCTGGCTTTTCACACAGTAACATGTGACACAGTGACATCTCGCAATCTGGATAATATGTAAATCTGTGAAAATTTGTGTATAGAGTGCACTATCGAAGTGACTTTGAAGAGAAGAGCTTTATGTTGAATAAATTTTACTTTACATTATATTTATTCATAGTGTATGTTTAACTCTGAAAGTGTGTTGTTACTAACAATGTGATTTCCTGTTCCTGGAAGATGATAAATCATGCTTGTAAAAACAGGGTTCTCTTTATAAAGAATTTAAATGTCTGAAGTCTAGCTCCCATTTTTGACACAGCTAAGTGCAGTTCGTTGTCAAGTGCGCCAAGTGTGTCAAGTGAACTTGAGTTCACTGCACTTTTTGCTTGTAGAGGTGATGTATAGATGCACCTTATTTCTATTCATGGACTAGAGACAATGCAAAGGTTATTTTTGTTTTTTGTTGTTTAAACTAGCAGTTGTTTGTGTATGTATGTGTATCATTACATGGTCTATCAAAACAGAGAAAGGCAGCCAGGTGCATTGTGTTCTTCAATGATGGAGGCCAGCTATAATTTTTCTTAATGAGTAGTTACGTGAATGAAATTGATCCTGTAATTGTTGATACTCTGTTTTTGCTGGTTTTACCTCTGCAGGGTTCATTAACAGACTTTCTCAAGGCTAACGTGGTTTCTTGGAACGAGCTCTGTCACATAGCTCAAACTATGGCTAGAGGCTTGGCTTACCTTCATGAGGATATACCAGGGCTAAAAGATGGACATAAGCCTGCCATCTCACATAGGTATAGTATATCTAAAATGTTTTCAGGTGATTGTTAGTATTCAACTTTGAGCTAAAGGATATGAAATATGGATAGATAGGAAGTATTTAAATAATTAGTCTCTGATACTTTCCTTCCAAAATAGTTGAGAGCCTCGTAAGAAAAACCTGCTCAGCCTAAACAGTGATCTAGCTGATGGTTTATAGAACTTGGTGTGGTGATTGTGATAACGTCACAAATTCATTTTCTATACAGTTAATTAAGTACCCTATGTGGTATATGAAATAATAAGCATTATAGCTATCTGAAACAACTTAAACACTTAACATATATAACTTTAGATGATACTGAATGTTTCAAAAAGAAATGGTTACTGTAGGCAGTGTTATGCCTATTGTTGAGTGTAATTGCTGGGTTTTTTTTTTAAATGAGATAAATATAGAACACTATTAATAGAAGTAGAGACCTGAAATGATAGTGGTAACCAAAGTGAAAAGATGGAGATACAGGGTAAGAGAAATACAGATTCTGCAGAATTTGTAATGTCATGGTCACTGCTTGACTGATGGTAAAAGGGATGGGGGCAAGAGGAGTAAAGGGGGAGGGAATGGTACACACAGGACAGATGGGAATCTCTGGATCAAGTCCATTACCTTTATCCTTCTGCAGGAGATGATGTATCTCCTTGTTAGAAACAATGCATATTGATTTTTTTCAAAGTGTTTTGTCTCCTGTTGTTTAAACAAACAAAATGTAGTTGTAATTGAAGCCTGCAGTAACATTTTATTCTGTTTCTGTTCCATAACATGCTTATAAATCTGTGTGTATTTTAAGCATAAAGTGATAGCGGCTATCTCACGTATTTCCATAAGAATAAAGTTGTACAAGTGTACTCCTAGGTTTTATTATTATTCTTTTGTTGTTTAAATGGAATGCAAGAAAGTTTCTTGCCTTTTGCATTATAATGTTTTTTTGGTATACTGTTTAACTTTTTTCTTAGAATTTTATATGATATTTCATGTTCTAAATCTCAATTATTTTTTTTTTTCCTTAACTTGAAAGGGACATCAAAAGCAAGAATGTGCTGCTGAAAAATAATCTTACAGCTTGTATTGCTGATTTTGGTCTAGCTTTAAAGTTTGAGGCTGGAAAGTCTGCAGGGGATACACATGGACAGGTAAAAACTGATCTGTTTACATAAATCTTAAAACTGCTAACTGCATGTAAATGGACATCAATAGTTTAGGTGTTCTTCATGTGCAGGATACTGTATCGTCAACCCTGTCTTTGTTGACCTTTAAGGGATGTAGTGATTTGTGCTTTCTTCGCTCAGGCTACAAATGAAACAGTTCTTTAGATAATTACAGGTCACAGCCTTCCCACCATCTTATTACTCCATAAGACAGTTTTTCATCTTCTCTCTCTGTCTCTCTCTGTCTCTCTCTCTCTCTCTCTCCTTATTGTGATTCTTGCTAGAGGATTTGGTCTTGCCGTGTTTTATTAATTGTTCTGAGATACTGTTCAGAAATTGAGGAATGACACTGAAGAGAAACGTAACATAGCTATTACTGTGAAGGTTTAAATAGTGAAGAAAATCCTGTTCAGGCACCAGACAAGTTCTGATTTATTTGGAGGGCATAATTTCATCATTGACTGTAGTCACAAAGAATGGATATCCCCAAAGTTTTCATTTAATAGCCAGTTTTGTGCAAGTGACTTCGTTTAACTTTCTCAGTATAAATTGCACTCTGCTTGCTAGTTTTCCTTTGGTATTTTTATTACTGCTCCTGTCACAGGGAGAAACATAAGCATATTTCATGTCTTTGACATGAAAAAATAAGAATAGTGGCCTTCCTGTAATCTTAAAAATTGAAGAATCGTAGCATGGTTTGGGTTAGAAGGGACCTTTAAAGGTTATCTAGCTCAGCCCCTCTGCAGTAAACAAGGACATCTTCAACTAGATAAAATGTGGAATGGCAGTGGCAAATATGTTGAATTGTTACACAAATGTCTTATTTTAAAATACATTCACGTTTTCCTGCTTTGTATCCTTTATTGGGCCCCATCTATATGATTGTTTCTGATGCTTTTTACCTACTCTTGGGTATAAGAATACAAGAAACTTCCAAGATTTAGTCCTAAGCAAGGATGACCATGGCTATTTTCTAATCTTTGACCAAAAAATGGTGCTGGTCTCTAGCATTATTACAACAGCTCCAGTTAGAGCAGTAATAGCGGTCATGTTTGATTCTTGGCGTACAAATTTTTGTGCTTTATTGTCTTTCAAGGTTGGTACACGAAGGTATATGGCTCCTGAGGTACTCGAAGGTGCTATAAACTTCCAAAGGGATGCATTTTTGAGAATAGATATGTATGCCATGGGATTAGTCCTCTGGGAACTGGCATCACGCTGTACCGCCTCAGATGGTAAGCAACATACTCAAATTGTGTAAATATTTCATGTAATTTGTGAGAGGTGTATTTAAAGCAGGAAACTGGCAGGTGGAATAGATATATGTAAAAAATTTCATAAGGGTGGTAGTTTTGTGGGGAAATGAATGAAACGCCAGCATCATGTAGTCACTTCATAATTTAGTCTCTTCAGTACTTGGTGTCCCTTGATACATGGTTACCTGTTGCATTTCTCCACCTGATCATGGTAAGGGAGAGGGAGAATTACTGTGGAATGCCCAACCTAGTGTGTTTGATTTTTCTTGAGTTCAGCCTGACAGTTTCAGCCAGTCAGTTTATTTAAAGGTATTGCTGCTTTTCATAAACAAAAGCTCAGGTGAGATTTACCTTGGTAACAGAGAGATCCCACCAGCACCTGCTGAGAAACTGATGTCTCCTGCTGTACACCCTAGTGTCTGGAGAACAACCTGCCTCTTAGAGCTGCCTGTGGAAGACAGGCGTCAAACTTCCTAATGTCAGAGATTGTCAGTGAGGGAATTACAAGGCTGAAAGACATGAAGAATTTTTCATAGGTTGACATATACTTTATTACAAAGAGAATTGTAAGAGGTTAACCATTTTCTAGCTGCTCATCAGCATATGCAAGGTTCCCCCTTGGCCCTTCCTCTTGTGAAACTCCTTTTCAGTGCATCAGAAGGTCAGCTGTGAGCAGCGGGGCATAGAAAAGTTGCTGTGTCTGGTTTAAGCCTAGATGCCTGAGTGAGCCTGTTCCATGTAGGTTCAGGACCTCCCTTTCCCTTCATTGTCACTGATTTAACATTGGTTCAGCTCATATGGATGTCAGAACTTCTTGTAAATTGTCAATAGCTTGAAGAGTGAAAATACAGCAAAGTCTGACAAATACTCAGCTGGTACTTGTTAGCTATGTGTCCATCACAGGTGTTTTTCTCAAAAAGCAGACTGTTGGATACAGTTTTTGATCTACCAAGAAAAGGTTGAAGATACCCTGTTTCAAGTATGGATAGTCTTTAAATTTTGTGACACAGATCTTTTTTGGGTGCCCAGAGTAAGTCAGGGTTAATCAAGAACAAGACAAAAGACAGGGCTCAAGACCATTTCTTGTTTGGGAGAAAGTTGCATTTTCAGTACAGTCTGAAACAGCTAAATTCAGATTAGCGAAATTAGTCTGAAGCAGCTAAATTCAACTAAAGGTGACTGTCTCGCTTGGGCTGGTGATGGTTGTCATAAATTCTCCTGCGGGAGCCCAGAGCAGCTGATAGGTATCTGTGTGAAAACCCAGGATGGGTTGGAGATCTCAGCAGGTTGGCACATGGCCACACAGTGTTCTGCTGCTCCAAGCAGTGCTTTTCTGCTTCAGACATTGCTCATGGAGCAGAAGCCACGGGGGAGATTTTACCCTTTTAAAAATGTTAAGCTGTTTACTAACAGGATTGACAGAGTCTTGCACACATCTCTGAGGCTGCCTCGCGTTCCGTATTGATTTTTCATGTACTGTAAAACATAAGTACATATATCCTAATAGAGATGTGTCATAGAGGTCTCTGGCATTGTGGTTGTTACTCCAGAAGGTAAAGGAGACCGCGGTGAAGGAGAGCAGCATTCGTGAAGCGCAGCCTGGTGTAGCTCTGCAGTCACAGCTGCTGCTTTCACTCTGCAAATGTGTTTGGGGTTCATTGTCTTTTTCAGAAGGTGCCTCGTTTGTTTTGCAAAGTCTCCTTGGCCTCATTCATAGTGTACCATTCATTTCTTCTCTCTTCCTCTTTTTTCAGACATTAATCTGAGCAGGTAAAATCTGTATTACAGTGACATACAATTATGTAACTTGTCATTCAACCTGTAAGCCTTGTCCCTCTCATTCAGTTGAGGATGGCCATTAGGCTTAGCTTTCAACAAGAGCACTTACATCCTGGCCTGTG